ACTACCAGATGTTACAATTTGATTCTAATATTATATTTTTTTAGTCGTTACAATTTTCACATGAAATATTACAATTGATTTAATTAATATGTTGTTTTACAATATAAACACCACTACATTATTTTACATTGGTGGAGTCGCTTAAACGATTAACAATACATCAACGGTAATGTATATGTTGTTTCACCACGTAAAACACTACTGCGTTGTTTCACATTAGGGGCGTCGTTTCAACAATTAATAAGACATTAATATTGATATATGTGTTGTTTAATAGTGTGAAACGACATTTGTGTTAACGCATATGTTCTCTACGTTTTAACCCATTGGTGTTGTATTAATTCACTATATGAAACAACACTTATGAACCAAAATGTTTATTACAATGTTTCACAATGCGAAACAACACTTCATAGAGTTAAACAACACTTCGCATGTGAACACATTTTTTCACTATATTATTGAACTTAAGTGGCGTTGTGTTGTTTTAGTTTTAACTAATGCACTTTATAGTGTGAAATACACTACGTTACTTCATTGTTAAATGGATCATTACATATTTTAAAACGTAATTATAATTATAAAAAACTTATCATATAATTGAAATTAGATAAAACAAGTCACAAAAATACGAAATTACATGTCTGAAATATATAAATAATCGTAATTAATTATCATGACAATTTTTGCCATATATGCTCAATCAAATCATTTTTAAAGTGTTATGAGTTTTCCTATTGTGAAATTGTTCTCTGTTAGCCATATAACAAGATAGGTTTGAAATCTCTTCAGTAGAGAATTCAGTTGATTGACCATCATCTTTTATAGCTTCCTTCTTGTCGATTTGTGGGCATGTCGTTAAGAAACTCAATAGTATCATTATAGTTTTGGTATGTATCTCGTCCGTCTTCAACTATCATATTATGCATGATGATACAAGCTATCATAATTCTTCCCATTATATGTCTGTCCCAAACAAGACATAGTCGTCGAATAAGTGCAAAACAAGCTTGTAAAACTCCAAATGCTCGCTCAACATCTTTTTTGCATGTCTCTTTAACTTGAGCAAACAACTTGTGCTTCCACATTTGGGGAGATGTAACTAACTTGACAAATGCATCCCATTAAGGATATATGCCATAAGTGAGATACTATGCCTTATCATTTTTGTGACCATTCACAACATAGCTAACTTTTTGTGATCCTGCCAATACATAATTAAAAGCAGGAGATCGGTGGAGTATATTAATATCATTAAGCGAACATGGGGTTCCAAAGAAAGCATGCCATATCCATAAATCATATGATGCAACGGCTTCCAAAATGATTGTTGGCTTTCCACTTCTTCCGACATATTGTCCATCCCATGCATTTGGACAATTTTTTCATTCCTAATGCATGCAGCCAATACTACCAATCACACCCGAGAATCCATGTTGATCTCCAACGTAGAGTAGTCTTGCCAAGTCAACTTCATTAGGCTTTCTAAGGTACTCGTCACCAAAAATGAGATGACACCATCTACGAAGTGCATGAGAGCTTCTCTTGTTGTGGATCCACTCATTCTCAAATATTCGTCAACTACATCAACTGATTCCCCATATGCCAACACTTTCATGGACGTAGTACATTTTTGCAATGGTGAAAGACTTTGTCTACCCGTGGCATCAGCTTTTTGTAGAAAATATTTGTCATTAGCAGTAACATCATCCACTATACGATGAAATAAAGGTCTTCACATTCGAAATCTTCTTCCAAAAATAACCTGGTCATAAGTCAGATTGTCGATAAAATAGTCTTCCATCAAACGCACTTCACCTATCTCACGTTTCCTATCATGATACCTCCTACTTGCTCTTGGAGGTTGATCTCCTATGAACATATTGGATGAGTTTATGACCATATCCTCGATGATGCGATCAATTTGTTGGTTTTGTTGAACAACTCGTGATTGCCATTCATCAAATTCGTCAACTAATTCTGGTGAAGGGTTTTCATTGTGAGACATTTTAGTGGATGYTTAAGGGAAATTGTATGTATAAGTCTTTGCTGAAAGACAACAAATATAARGGAATTTTAACATTATTGGGAGACAATGACATGTGAACCTGAKTGAAAGAGACAACACATTAYTGGAAAATAATGATATGTGAACCTGAGTGAAAGAGACAACACATTATTGGGAGATAATGGCATGTGAACCTGAGTGAAAGAGACCTATTATTATTGGAAGACAATGACATGTGAACCTGAGTRAAAGAGACAACACATTATTGAGAGACAATCACATGTAAACCTAAGCAAAAGAGACAACACATTATTGGAAAACAATGRCATGTGAACCGGAGTGAAAGAGACAACACATTATCAGGAGACAATGACATGTGAACCTGAGTGAAAGACATCTCRCATTATTKGGAGACAATTATAACTATTCATTTAACATAAAAACAAACTTCWGATAGCACACTTGAAAAACAAGTTACAAACAGAACACGAAATAATAAATTACATATAGAGAATTATAAATTGCAAAAAAACCACTATCCATACCACATTTTCAAAAGACATTCTTTCAGCGCCTCCTCTCCTGNAAATAATAAATTACATATAGAGAATTATAAATTGCAAAAAAACCACTATCCATACCACATTTTCAAAAGACATTCTTTCAGCGCCTCCTCTCCTGGTGACGGGTGTTCTTTCGCCAACAGTATACACAGATTCTTGTGGTGTTCTCCTTGATTCTTTGGTGTTCTTTCTCCTTTTCAAATTTAAGTCTTTTAGTCATGATTTCAATCTCACCATTTCTTGTGATGTTTAGTACACAAAATTCTTCAGAATAGTCAGGTGCTAAAGAAGATTGTGATGCCTTATCTTTTCTTTTTCTCTTTGTCGCATCTCTACCCATAGGACGTTGAACTGTTGAACCACCACAGTTGGCGATTCTTGATTGGTTTCAACAGAATAATCTCCTTCTGAAATTCTTGATCTTTTTGTGCTTCCACCACTTTCTTCATTATCCACTTCATATTCTGGATGAGAACGTGTCGTGTCATGTTCTAACTGTAAATCCCACTTGGGATGTTTATACATAACTTCGTTAAAAACAAGCAAGTCATTAAACTTGCTCCCACTCATCTCATAAATTGCATGAGCATCTTTCTAAATATCTTTCATACTCATCCCACTACTAGTCTGTCGATATGTTTCTCTGTACGCGTCAGTCCATTTGTTTGCACTTTCGTTAAGTCGTGCAAAATGACCTTTCATTTGATTTCCGTTCCTAATTCCCAGTCCTTCTGCATTTTCTAATCTAGTTTCATCATAGTATTCTTTCACTCATGACCATAATGTCTGTTTGTTCTGGTTTTTGCATCGAGTAGGTTCTTCACTAACGTAGATCCATGTTGACCTCAACACCCCATCTTCTTTGGTTTTCCATTTATTGGCTCTTGAACTCTCTTCCGTGTTTGAGTATTTTCAAGGGTAGGAACCTGATTATTATAATTGAAAAACTTAGAGTTTCCGTACTTTGTGTTTGAGTGAAATGAAAGTTATCAAGATGTTGAGAATTTGATTTTCTTTTTGGGAAGTTTGGATCCATAGCAGAAAATTGAAATAAACTGAAAGTTTTTTTTGGAATTTGCAAGATAACGGGAGGATTAAAATGAAGAGAAAGATTGGTTAGATGAAAATATGTCAATATCGGGCTCTATTTTTAAAGAATTGAAAACCATGAATTTTGGTATATTTTTTTTGTTAAAGTAATGTTTTTTATCAGATAAGTTTTATCCAAAAAAATCTAATAATAAGCAATGGAAATGTGACATGTGGCATTGAAATAAGGTTGATGATATTGCAATATGGATCGTCTTGTGATCAAGTTTGCGAATGATTTCCATATTTATTTCATATTAAAGTTTTTTTTTGTCTTTATTTACAATCTCACAGACCAAATCACGATTAGAGATGGTCTTACAAAGTTAAAAATTCAATCAACATTTTTAAAGAATTAAAAGCTAATCTTAACCGGAATCAAAAAAATTGTAAAGATAAATTTAAAAAGAAAAATTACACTTTTTGAATTAAATAGAATGCCAATTAAATGTATTTAATAGAAATAAATTTAATAAATGAGATATGTTCTCATGGTTTTCTACCTTTTTATCTTTCTTATCTAATTACCATCCTCTCATCTCTCTCTCTCTCTCTTTGTGTGTGTGTGTGTGTGTATATATATATATAGGTGGAGGTTTAAACGAGAACACCTCCATTTTATGAGAACACCCTTATCATATGTGATAATACGCGTGAGGAGACCCTGAGATGTGCGGACGACGTGTTCTACGACTTAGGCCGCGCCAAAGGTTGTCGGCGTCTTTGATTTAGCATCACATGTGATAGTTTTGATGGATTATAGTATCATGTCAACAACAACTTAATCACATGTGATAATACTTGTGAGGGGGCTTAATGGTGTAAGGGCGATTTGGCTCGCAACCAAGATCGCATCGAAAATCGTCCATGTCTCTGATTTAGTATCACATGTGTATCATATGTGATGAAATAATAGTATCACATGTGATTGTCTATAGTAAAAGGGTGTTCTCGAATTCTCGTAAAATAAAGATATTCTCGTTTGAACTCTTCCGTGTGTATATATATATATATATATATATATTTATGTTGGTTCAAATAGAAACCAACCATTTGGTGCAAACTATGCTAACCATCATTAACCAATCACATTCTTTCTTGACTTTAGGTTCAAATCTAAATTATAAATTAAAGATAAGGGTAATTTGGTAATTTAACCTTTTTGTAACCCCCAAATAATTAATTGGGAGTTACAAATCATAAAAGATTCCTCTAATTCTTCATGAGATTTTTCTGAATTCTTTATTATTTCATGTTCATGTTCTTCATTTCAAGTGATTTTCTACATATATTAAAATTGGTTGTCTAAGTATACAAGATTTTCATTTCGTTCAAGATACATGGAGAATCCTATTGTAAAAGAATTTCAGAATAATGAAAGCGATAAACTTAATTCCGGATATGAATACGGTCGAAATTTGATTACCGATGATGAAGAGGACGGTCAAAGCGTTCCGATTGGTAAGTGATTAGTATTTCATGTATAATGTTTAAATGGACAACCATTAAATTTGTTGTATATTAAATGGACAACCATTACCTTTGTTGTATGTTCATATCGCTGCCTACATGTCAACATCATCAGCATGAACATAGAGCGATGGCGGTATATGTTGATATCTGCACACAGACACAATGATCCTTGATTATGAAAAAACATCAAACCATTCAAACATATTGTTTACATTGCATGACACATATGATGTTCACACGAACATATTGCCGACACATGTACTTCATAAGCTATCATATATTCACAGATGTGATTCATAAGCTATCATATATTCACATATGTTTCAAGTGCTCGTGTCATCAGCAACTGTGTTCATGTGAACAACGCCTGTGTCGACATGAATATGTTAAATATATCAACTCATATTACAGTCCGAAATAGTTCATATCAATACACCTGTTAACTACAACACATCAGTTTGACCAAAGAAGTATGATATATCAATATGGATAATGTTTACGAACATGATATAACCTGCTGGTAGAACAAAGCATGCACATGGTACAACTTACATTAATATGAATAATGTTCATGAACAGAACCAAAGAAGTATGATATCTGCACACATGCACAACGATCATTGATTTTGAAAATGTTCATATCTGTGTATCGCTTACAGACACATGTTCATATCTGTGCACCATATGAACAACTTGTTTTCGTTGCGAGACACAATCGTTGTTCACACGAACACGGGGACGATGTCATACGATGAATGACATTTTTGCTGCCTCCATGTTTCCATGTGTTCATGTGATCATCGACTGTGGTCGTTTACACATTCAAACCACCTGTTATCATAACGGAATCAGCAATATGAACAGAGTGCTAATGCAGTATATGTTAATAGCGGCATACATGCACAAATATCCTTGATATTGAAAAACATTGCCCCATATGTACAACTTATCTTCATATTTGCTGTATGTTCATATCGCTGCCTACATTGAGAACATCATCAGCATGAACATAGAGCGATGGCAGTCTATGTTGATATCTGCACACAAGCACAATGATCCTTGATTATGAAAAAACATCAAACCATTCAAACATATTGTTTACATTGCATGACATAACCTGCTGTTCACACGAACATATTGCCGACACATGTACTTCATAAGCTATCATATATTCACATATGTGATTCATAAGCTATCATATATTCACATATGTGTTCAAGTGCTCGTTGTTCACACGAACACGGGGACGATGTCATACGGTGAATGACATTTTCGCTGCCTCCATGTTTCCATGTGTTCATGTGATCATCGACTGTGGTCGTTTACACATTCAAAGCACCAGAGATCATAACGGAATCAGCAATATGAATAGAGTGCTAATGCAGTATATGTTAATAGCGGCACACATGCACAAATATCCTTGATATTGAAAAACATCGCCCCATATGTACAACTTATCTTCATATTTGCTGTATGTTCATATCGCTGCCTACATGTGAACATCATCAGCATGAACATAGAGCGATGGCAGTCTATGTTGATATCTGCACACAGGCACAATGATCCTTGATTATGAAAAAACATCAAACCATTCAAACATATTGTTTACATTGCATGACATAACCTGCTGTTCACACGTACATATTGCTGACACATGTACTTCATAAGCTATCACATATTCACAGATGTGATTCATAAGCTATCATATATTCACATATGTGTTCAAGTGCTCGTGTCATCAGCAACTGTGTTTCATGTGAACACAGCCTGTGTCGACATGAATATGTTGAATATATCAACTCATATTACAGTCTGAAATAGTTCATATCAATACACCTGTTAACTACAAACACATGAGTTTGACCAGGATGTTGGATGCATATGCCAATCTAATTTTCTCATTTTCACAGATTATTCAAAACAAAAGGTAGTTGCATATTACCTCAAACTATTTTCTTTATGATATATCTCATCATGTCATGACAACCTTGGCTTGGACTGGTTTTTTAAAAACCCCATCATACTGTACCTGTAACATAAATGGTCATATCATATTTCATTACCTATATATCGACAGTAGTAATATTGAGGTATGTTCGACAAATAAAATAAGAGATTTTTTTTCAAGTTGTTTGGAGTTGCACTTTACCTATCTGCATGTTGGTCTGTTAAATTCAATTATTGTTATACCAACCTTAATCTCACAGCCTGACTACTTTTTCCCATCAACTCTTGATAGCATAACTTCTTCACAACAAGAAGTTGATTATGACATAGGAGAGAGTTCAGAAGGAATAAAGTTTTTTATCCCGAAGGTCGATGACGCGCTTAAGCCAAATATGAAAACACAATATCCGACTATAAATGAAGTCGAAAGGATGTACAAGGCTTATGCGAACAACACCGGCTTTGATGTTCGCATGCATGTAAAAAAGACGAACAAGAATGGCGAAATTCAAACCAGGTGGTTTGTATGTAGCAGGGAGGGAAACCCAAAAAGAAGGATTTTGATTCGTTGTACAAGCAGCCGAGTGAGAGGAGATATCGTAATACAAACATCAAACGTTGTGGTTGTAATGCTTGTATAAAATTCCATTTGACAAAGGATAGGTCTTGTTACGAGATATATGAGTTTGTTGAGTCACATAACCATCCATTGTTCAATAATAACGATCGTCGTTTCTCTCGGAAGAATGGACAGATGAAGTATATAGATTTCAAAACTGTACTAAATAGCTCAAGCTACAAAGTCGGCGCGAGGAGGGCTCACCATATTCAGACCGCATTGAACGGTGGATTTGAGCATACTCGCATCTCTGAAATTGACTTCAAGAATTTCAAGAGGGATGCTGTTGCTTGTATTGCGAATAAGGACGCGACGATGTTGATCAATAAACTATCAAACAGACGTGATGTTGTCCCCGGATTTTTTTTTGAATACAAATGCAACGARCAGGAGTTGAGTGCAATTTTCTTGGCAGATGAAGTTGCTAGAATTAAGTACAAAGAATTCGGTGATGTCATTTCGTTCAACGGAACCTTTCGCACTAACAAGTAAGATAAACAAATGCAATACAGTAGGCAGCGTTGATCATCTTTGATATTTTAACGGACATATGACGTGGCTACGAATAGATACTCGTATTTTTTGATTTGTATTCCAGGCATGCAATGATTTTTGTTCCTTACATGGCTGTTGACAACCATAAGGCGTCTGTTGTTGTTGGATCCGCTCTTATAAGTGGAGAGACGATTGATAACTTTACATGGGTTCTAGAGGCCTTTCTAAAGTGTCATGCGAAGCAACCAGTGTTCGTAATTACAGACCAATGTTYTGCAATGAAGCAGGCTATTCCGAAGGTGTTCACGGAATCCAAGCATYRACTATGTATGTGGCACATTATGAAGAAGGTCCCTTCAAAGGTAAGTAGTATATATTGAACGCTATCTAATTTAATGTGTTTTTGTGTTATTCTTTCATATGTCGAAGCTTCGTTGATGCAGGTTAGTGTCGCCCTAAATCATGATCCTACGTTCAATAAAGTCATCAACAAGCTCGTATGGAACATTCATATTGGCCCATCGGAGTTAGAGAGCCGTTGGAATGAGATGATAGATCAATACAATCTAGCTGGGGATACTTGGTTTACAGAGATGTATGAAATCCGACACTCGTGGATTCCTGCATATTATAAGGACATGCCGATGTCTAGGCTAATGAAAACAACCTCAAGATCTGAGAGTTCGAATTCGTATATCAACATATACGAATCGTACTGGTTTGATTTGGTTCAATTCCTTAATAATTACGACGTAGCTATAGAGAAACAAAGATACAGACAATCTGTTCACGAGACAGTGACAAGAACGACTAATCCCAAGTTTGTTACTCCATTGCGTTTAGAAAGTCATGCATCAAGCATATACAGTCGGAACGTGTTTTTTGACATCCGAAAGGAAATAAAGAAGGCTGTTTGGTTTTGTACTATTGAGACCATCGAATGCCGGGATGATTTCAAGTCGTTCGTGATAAGCCACAATGCCAAGAAATCAGCTGACAACATCAAGTATCTGGTATCCTATCCCTAACTCTCAACACAATGGATTATATGATTTTTATTTTTTTCTTGACTGATGTTGTTGGAAACTTCTTTCATGACAGGTGGGCCGTAATTACTCAACAAACACAGTCGAATGCAATTGTAACCTATTTACACGTAATGGGTATCTATGTCGTCGCACGTTCAAGGTACTAATAAATGATGAAGTTGAATGCATTCCGGAAAAATACGTACTACGTCGATGGAAATGAGAGTTAGTTCCAGTACAGATACACTCCGTAAGAGTTCGTTATGGGGAGGTCAACGCCGAGAAAGAAAAGTCTATACTTGAAGTATATTCCAAGATCGACGACATAATAAGCATCGCCCGCAATGACCAATCTATATTAGATAGATTGGGGCGTAACCTCGACAAATTCATGGTTGATGTAGAGAAGGAAGTTCCATACGAAGACCCATCCCAACAAAAGTTGGATGCGATAAGAGATCATCTAGGTGTTTCCATACCTGATGAGGCGGACATTCTACCACCATCTGGAATAAGGAACAAAGGTTGTGGAACTGGCAAGAGGCTGGTAAGTGTATCTTAGAAATTGCAAACTAATTGCAAAAAGACTAAACGAAAATGTGCAACGTGTGGACAATGTAGTGGTCATGACTCACGTAATTGCCCAGAATTGATAGATTAGTTAGATGGCAAGTATTTGGAATTCTTATCGTTTCGTTCTAATAGGTCGGCATCATCGAAACATATTGTTTATGTGGATTTATTTTTTAAACATCTTGAAATTGATCTCAGTGTTTTGCTTGAATCAGTAGTTGATGCTATTTGTTAGTGCCATTAGTGTATTGATACGTTATGTACATTTTGTATTGTGTTGTTTATATATCTTATACGTTATGAACCTTACTGGAACGATCATTTTACGTAAACAACATAAAAACAGCAGACTACAGGAACACAGTACACACTAGAAGGCTATTGGGTAGCCGGTTCATATATCATGTTCGATGTCTCATGCATATACCAATATCTGTGTATCATTCATATACTTCTTATATGGGTCATTAAACATCTCATCATATTGCAAGTCAAATCATGATGTAAAGTAATCAAAATGCGTGATTTTGATATACCGATGTTACGAGATTAAAATGCCTATATATTTAAATGGTTGTATACAAAAAATAAAGTTYAGAACGAACCTGACATGATGAAACAAGTTCAGGTTATGCTAGATAGTATCAACACGTCCATCCACATGTTAAATGATATGGAAAGTCACACATACCATTTGCACTCCCACGCTTCCCTATRAGTTCAACGCTCGTCCATGTTGAATGGCACAGTACGGTCCACGAAAATAGTGATCAGTTAAAACTGCCACAAGTTGTGTGAATATGTTGGTGTCAGTATATCAATATATACAAAAAGCATGTTTGTGGGAAGAATATAAGTAGTACATTATAGACATCATGTTAAAACGTAATCATATAATATGGTTACTATAACCCATTCAACTCCGGATCAAGGACCGGACAACTGGTTCTTTAAACACCGATAATGGATATAGAGGAGTAAACTCGAACAATATTGGCATGTGTACACATGTTGTTGCTCATTTGAACGTGTTTAGTAAGATCAAGTGTCATGTACATGCGTTCACAAACAGATAAGATTTGGTTTAATCAACACACTCACCTCCGGATCAAGGACCAAACATCTGGTTCATTCAAAATCAAAATGGCTGCTTATCTATAAAATGAAACAGTATCAAATATTAATACTGCTGATTCATTTTGTGTGCATTTTGCCTTTGTGTTCATACATATAAAATATTAATTTATCATATTCCATGTTCAAAAAAACCAGCAGGTTGTATCATGTTCATAAACATTATCCATATTATACGTATGGAAGATACTAAAGCATTAAACAAAAAAAATGAGATATCCATGTGGCAAGACCGAATACAATTGCCATCTACACCTTTCCTCGACCAATATGTATATTTCCACGTGTCTTCTTGGCATTGTACGATGTTTCCATTGCAATAAAGCGCTCGACCTCATTGATGATGGAAGCCTTTTGGATGTTCTCTTCACTCAGAAGTATTTTCACGCAGTATTTAGTCCGGAGATCCTTCAGCTGCCTTTTCTCATTTGTACTCTCTTTGTAAAGGCCGCAATTCCACTTCCCTCCATCGGCACCAAAATACGTTTCCAGATGTCGCATCATCATCACCCCACAGTCAATCAAACTCTCATGTGACTGCCACCGAGTCCTGATTTGCTCCTGATCCATCTCAGCGTAAACTTTTCTGGCATCGTGGCCCTCTCTCAGAAGATGAAGTATTATCATATCTTGCTGAATGAATTATCAAGATGACAAAATAATTAAGGAATCATGAGGCATGTATAATATTAGTACTAACAATGTACACTTACCAAGACGACCGTACTAGCTCCATATATATCTTCAAGGTCGCCATCCCGATGCTTGGAGTCAATGATAGCGATTGAGGGCCGTTTCAAGTCAAAGACAACAATGTAATAGAATGCTTCCTCTACGATTGGGAAGAATACCTGTAATTATAAATACGTAAGATACAGGCGACCACTACAATATATTGTTAATTATTGTATGCTAATATTAGAAACGCATGTTATATACGTACCATGTCAACGCTRCGCATACTAATGATCTCCTTATCATTGTTTGCAAAACTTGATAGGTTTTTTTTGAAAATCTCGTATCTTTCGTGCACATCCAGAGAAAGGTTCCTCATCATACCATCCATCTGGATACAAAACAAATCTATTAGTTTTTTTCTATATAATGCATGTTATTTATTCGTATCGGAAACAATTGCTTTTTTTATTGATTTTACCGAAACATTTGTGTGACAGAAAAAGCGTCGCGGAGAGTCATTGCTCCGCAATCTTTCATCTCTGTTTAGCACTGCTGACCACCCGTCTAACATCTCTCGACAAACCATGGATTGGGATGCAAAAGATTGCAACGCCCGTCGTGTTAGTCTTTTTCCACACGGGGATACGGAAACAGGTTCTCTGGGTATTAACAGGTAAACATTATACACAGTCATATATTTAGACATATAAGTAAAATGCATGAACTATAAAAATGTAGGTACAACTTACAGTAACTCTCCGATACCCCTCAAGATCCAATCTTGTAGCCTACGCTCGTCATTTGTTACGTCGAAGGAAACAGCACGTGTGATATAAGGTGACCGTAGCTTGAAGCTCAACTTCGGATCCCTCTTCGACAAAGTCAGCCTCGGACACTCCTTCATTGCTAGTGTATTCACCGTATCCACAACATCAACTACCTGTTTCCCTTTCGGACTTATCCCCAAATCAAATGTCGGTTGCTCGATTCCTCCACCCAATGCAATTGCTTTATCGCTGTTTCTCGCTCATTTACAAATCTTACTTATCTTATTCTCAGTCTGATCATTATTCCTACTCCGTACGCTACCAACTTGCTGCACCTGCGGCTGTATTGTCTGAATACCAACTGGTTCCTTTTGAACAGACCGCGTATATCTCCTGTTTTCATTTGACAGATGCTTCGTTTTCTCGTTGGATGCCCTATCCACCTCCGCAATAACCGTTGGACTAGTCCAGAATTGTGAYAGCGGCGACAACAAGTCTGGATCCGGTATTGTGGCCAGCTTCGTAGGAGTTACCTCAACAATTTCCCGGTTAGGGACTTGGCACATCATTGGGGCTGCATAATCCGTACCATGTGTCATTATTTGGTCCTCCAACGTTTGTTCCATCTCATTGCCCACGGTTGTTCTTGTATCCCATTTGCTCCCTTTAAATAACGCTGCTAATTGTCTTTTGAAGCTGTCAAAATCTGTATCACCCAGGAATTGTTCAACAAACGCTTCCAGCAGTAAGTCTGCCTCTACTCTTCGTGTGCACAACTCCTCAATCTTTTCACCAATGATCCTCATACATTCCTTAGGAAAAAAAAACATTGAGGAAAACAATACATATGATGTGTACGATCTACGCAACATATGTTCACATATCACAATCGCTATGTCGTTTTGGTAGGTTCATGTCCATATAATGTCGTTGTGCATGTGTAACATGTAATTTAGGTGAACATCATGTGTACATACACACAATGTATTAAAAAAACACATTACTCATTTTATTAAACAGCCCATACGGTTTTTTAGTCGCTGTCCACATAAAACACAGCGCCTATGTTTATGTGTTCGTGACTGTTCGATGTGCATGTATGCATAGGTTAGAGCACCTTGTCATGACGTTTGCTTCATGTTCACACTGCTGCTTTATTTAGGTTAATAAAGGCATTTTTTGTGCTCATATTTTGTATGTTTTAACACATAGTGAAGTGCGAATATGTTCACATGGAATCAGCAGTGTCAACATTCAAGGACTGGAGATACAGTATAAGTTGGTACCTTCCACACACAACATATGAAAAAACACAAAATTCACATTAACCATTGGCCAGTGGCAGCCAAGTGAAACCCGAAGTTAACTATTTATAGGAAGAGCATAAAATGATCACCATCCTTCTCATCCCAGGTGGTGACATTTAGCTGCCTTAATTTGCTGTTGTGGGGTCCCTCTTTTAATCCAGCTTGAACATATGCTGTTACTTTTTCACCTATTGTGTGCTTTATGTAGTCAAGGTACTCTCTCCCACTCTATGGCAGACAGGACAGGTGTCTAGTTATCAAATCTAAGTTGAATTTTTTGGCTCCGTGCATGACCATATGATAGATGTGAACAGATATAGTGTGATCACGACTACGTTACATATTTGAGTTTATTAAATCTACATCCTTGTTGCTCTTTTTATTTAAGTAATATGTGTAATAATAGTTCTAGTTTGGAACACTAACAACATATTTTAACTGCATGGTATGATATACGTATGTGTTCATAAGGTCAACATGGTTCATATATCAATACATGCAAGGGTTTTCCGGTGCATACGATCGCACAACCGCGGTAGTACATGTGTATGGCAGATACATAATGACATATATTTAAGTTATTATGTAAGTTTCTTAACACAATAATTCATTAAAATCAATAAATTTTATATGTTACCTCCTTTGTCCTTCGCGCATCTTTGGATTGATTACTTCTACTTGACTCAGCCATGGTCTTTCGGGCGAACCCCCTGTAACATTAGCGTCGCATCCTCCTCGGTCCACAGTGGACATACGTTTCATCGCAACATATCCAAGACCGCCATGTCTAATCTCGAACTCTTGCCGTTTCCKAAGCAGGTCCATCGTCCAACCCTTAATAGGAGGTGTATCTGTCACTATTTGTAGGTGTTCACATCTTGTATAATGAACATACAACATCTGCATATAACGAATATATCAAATGTTTTATATTCATACTCGTATTACTCTTTTATTAAGATGTGTATTACGAAGATTTTACTTACTGTCAAACACGTCAAAGGTCCTGCATAGAATGACATGAGACTGTCTCTACTCCAACACTTCTTGTTGTTTGAAATGCAATCAAACACGTACTTGCACCAATTGATTTTTTGAATCAT